ACACGATGTATGCCTGAAGATGGAAAACGAAACGCAGCTACACAATGGTGGAGGCGCCGCCAGCGCAGGCAAACGAAACATCTAGGAATGAATGAATGTTGGATTGTTCTTTATGTGACGTTTGTTCATTCCTCATTGTGTGTAGCAAATGAAATAGTTAATAAAAATGTAATATTTTTAGTTTTAAAAGGGAATTTAGTGTAAAAAAAAATGTTTTGAGGTTAGATATGTCGTAATATTTACAAAGCATTAAGTTATTTGCTCGAGTTAAGTGCGTCTATAATTTATATTTATTTATATATTAACTTGGAGTGTGTTTTGAGCAAATAAATCAAACGGAAAACAATTTGGTGCGCAGCCAAAGAATCGATTTACGCGGGCGGGTTTTCAAGGAACACATTTCGACAATTGGGCAGGCTACAGATGGGAATTTTAGTTTTTTATTTTTAAATACCGGTTTTTGAACATTTAAAAACCAGTATACCGGTATTTCACACCCATAATAATCAGATTTTTATTGAAAAAGATTTTTTTGAGATTTTCTTGAAAAGTTTTTGTCAAATTTAAAAAATACCGGTATTTAACAATTTAAAAACCGGTATACCGGTATTTCACATCCTAAATAATCAATTTTTTTTTTTAATTTTCTGAGATTTTAATTAAAAAGTTTTGTAAAACTTTAAAAAATACCGGTATACCGATTTTAAAAACCGGTATTTGACACTACTAAACCTCTAAAAGTATAAAATCTATGCGTAGAATAGAATTTGACTTTATTTGAGAAAATATATATCAAAAGTTTAGATTTACATCTCTCGCGCTAAGCTGAAGAAAAAAAAAAACGATGATGAAATATATTCGCAAGTCAGTCGGAGTCGAAGCCCCGGAGTCGGTTACTCGTCGTTATTTGAAAAATTGAATTAAAAAGTTTCGCTCTCGCGGGCGTCACGAAACGAACCAAAGGCGAGGAGAGATGCTCGCAGGGCGCGCAGGATGAATGCCTTCCACGTCTTATTGACTCGCCGGCAAAGGACGACGAAGCGGCGACGCGCAATGAACGCGAAAACGGCGCAACGCGCGCAAAAAACTTGCTATATTTGATTATATGCATCGATGTCGGCCGACGCAGCACGCTCTCCAGAGGGCAGCAGTGCTGCTCTACACGTAATTAGATTTGATCCTTTTTAATTGGGTTGTTTTTCGAAAAATAAAGTATCGATGCCAACAAAAGTTTTAATTATTGCTTGAAAATGTTTTTTCTACACAAAAACAAGAAATAAGTGTGTCACGTGACCACAACGTCTTTTAACCTTAAAAATAGGTTATGAAATTTTATATTATACTAGCTTTAACCCTTGGCTTCGCTCGCGAATATCTAAAATAATGAAGTTGCTTCCGTACGCGTCTGTAGTCACAGAAGAAGTAACAATGAAGTAGAATGGCGGGAAGTTTAAAATGGCTGAAAGTATAGTCTTTGGAAGTATAGTGTACAGTCTCCATAGTGTAGTCAATTGGATTTGATGTTGACGTAGCCGTCGGTAATACAGTGTGATAATACAGTGTGATGGTACTATAGTACTTAGGTTTGAGCTTCATTGCTGGAATGCTAGATGGCGTTAAAGTAGTCAAATAGCCAGATGCAGAGGTATTATTGGCTAAACTATTTCTTTATTTTATTTAAATAATAATTTTTTTTATTAAATAAAAAGTAGCCTATAACCATTCGGGGACCACTAAGAATATGTGTACAAATTTTCATGATGATCGGTTAAGTAGTTTTTGCGTGAAAGTGTAACAAACATCAGGACTTTCGCATTTACAATATTAGTAGGGATGTATTTATTTATGTCTGGCTCACATCTGGACTCTGTGACTCTGTGAATTATTGAATAATTGAATATCCAGCACATCTGGCCGTCGATAAAGTAGAAAGTGATAAAAACTGACATAAAAAGAATTCCATAAAGGATAGTATTTGTTTAAACATAAAATTGACTTAAACATTCTTTAGAAAACGTAAAACAAATAGAAAATAACAATTCCACAATGAAATATTTGAGTAATGCGAACAAAGAAGTGGAAACAATACTTCCATTGTAATTGAATTTCACGCACAGATTGTGCTTATTGAAATATTTCAAATCGTATTCAAGTACCGCTGGAAGCCGCCTCGCAGATGTGTTTTTCATAAATCTCATGGAAATTACATCTGATTGATTTATTTCATATTTATCTCATACAAAACACTTAAATATTCATTTTAAATTATTGTATTTTTTACTATTTTCTTTTTTATTACCGCCGTATAAATTTATGTGAGGCAAAGCAATAAATAAAATTATTGACAACTGCAACGTGGATATTTTCGTAAATTTCATTTGCGAATCCTTTTTGAGGTTAGATACGTGATGAAATGATGAAATTTGTGGCAGTTTGGAAAATCACTAGTCTGCTTCAACTAAAACGTGACATTCGTCAACGTCGGGCCGAAATCTCGACCGATACATAACGAAAGGCTTAGAGGACCAAGGACGGCCAATTCAATAAGAAATTTACTCGAAAGCCTGCCCTAATCATACTAATAGCAGGGAATCAACCTTTCCGTCGCTTCTTAGAATCGTCCTAGACTAAATCAGGACATTTATCAATCGTCTTTTCTATTCTATTCTTTTTTATTTATTTTTTTGTTAATTTAGCGCAGAAAATAGACATTTTAAGTAGGGGTGTGAAAAATACCGGAATTAATAACGGTATACCGGTATTTTTTCAAGTTAACAAAAACTTTTAAAGAAAAATTTAGAAAAAATTCTTTAAAATAAAAATTTGTCAATTAAATGTGTGAAATACCGGTATTAATACCGGTTAACCGGTATTTTTCTTATCAAATACCGGTATTTTATACAAAACATACAAAAAATATAATATTAAGCTCTAAAATAGCAAAACATGAAAATACCGGTATTCACATCCCAAATCTCAAATATTTGCCTGTTAATGGCTGAATTTTCCCCGGACTAGTTTTATTTACACACAGAAGTGTGGTCGGTGCAAAAGAAGCAGCGCATTTGCACATCCGACGGTCGAGGTTCGTTTTCATTTTGTATTTTCTGTTTTGAATTTTATTGCAGGCAGGAATTAACTTACCACTCAGCCGGCGGCAGCCATCGGGGGCGAATGAAGTTCGTTCGCCGGTTCGAGAGTTCACTTTGTTACGCGGCCTCAGCTCGCAACGTAAAAGTGAGTGATTCATTACGCAAAACAACGAGTGAAATGCGACTGCGAGCTTTCCAAAGACCAAAAGTGGGAAATTATTGCTCTTCCACTACCACCGAGAATCGAAAAGCACACACAGCACATTTTCGGCGCATTTCAGGACCCAGCGGAGTTAAAGTGGGCGTGCGATCGCATTTAAAATTTAAATTTTTAACTTTTTTCACCTTGTATAATTAGCCATGCATGCAGGATACATGTAGAAACAAATTAAAACAAAAATAAAAGATTTGCGTTAGTTTCGGGCGTGTAATTCATCCAGAAACAAAGAAAAAGAAAAATGCATCCATAAATCACCCATGGCGGCGAATAAATTAAAGTCGACGATTAAACTAACCTTGGATCACCTGCCGTTGACTGGCTACAAGACTCCGACGGGGAAAATCGAGAAAACGAGGAAATGAGGATTGATTTAATGAATTCCCTCTTCGGATGCTCATCCACGCGTGCATTTTGTATCAATATTTCAAATATTTCAAGTGGAAATTGCAAAATTAATCAATCAACCCCAAAATATCATTTTTACAGTTTTTGTATTAAAATATAAACAAAATACACAAAAAACATAAAGAAAAAGGTGTTAATTTGTACTCGTGTAGATGAAATCCCGGAGAATTTAATTTGCAAGAATTTCAATTAACAATGGATAACAGGAGAGTAAAAGATCTATTTGGTCGTAAATTCATCCCGGGAACTCGAGGCAGCGCTCGCAACTCTTAAAAAGGGTTAATAAAGTTTTAACTTTTAACAAGCAAATAAAAGCGAAGCAAAATATTTATTAAAGCGCTCCGGGTTTTTTATGTTTTCAAATGACTCGACGTTTTTTCAAAAATTGACTTGTCCAGATGATTGATCGCGTGCCGGAGCTTGACCGGTGGATGTCAACTTTCCTTCAACACCACACAGAAAGAAAAAAAATCAACTTCCTACGCTCCAGTTGACACATTCACCTGATTTCTGAACGTTTGACATGACTTTCTGCACAGTCACTTGGTTCCTTTGACGAAAAAAACTTAAATTCTGCAATAGAACATGTAAAAACATACATTACCTCAAAAAACCGGAAATGGGAGGGAAAAATGTCACTGGTTGAAAACAAAACAATTATTTTGATATTTTGTTGTGATCTGATGTATTTTATAGACGTAATCTGTTAAATTTATAACAATCATCCATCATCATATAATATCATTTACAACACAATAGTAATCATCATAACCTAGATTCATTTCTCTCCATTTTCTGAAAATATATAAATACTAGCTTTAACCCTTGGCTTCGCTCGCGAATATCTAAAATAATGAAGTTGCTGCCGTACGCGTCTGTAGTCACAGAAGAAGTAACAATGAAGTTTAAAATGGCTGAAAGTATAGTCTATGGAAGTATAGTGTACAGTCTCCATAGTGTAGTCAATTGGATTTGATGTTGACGTAGCTGTCGGTAATACAGTGTGATGGTACTATAGTACTTAGGTTTGAGCTTCATTGCTGGAATGCTAGATGGCGTTAAAGTAGTCAAATAGCTAGATGCAGAGGTATTATTGGCTAAACTATTTCTTTATTTTATTTAAAAAATAATTTTTTTATTAAATAAAAAGTAGCCTATAACCATTCGGGGACCACTAAGAATATGTGTACAAATTTTCATGATGATCTGTTAAGTAGTTTTTGCGTGAAAGTGTAACAAACATCAGGACATTCGCATTTATAATATTAGTAAAGAAGTAAGGATTATATGTTGTGATCTGATGTATTTTATTGACGTAATCTGTTAAATAACAATCATCCATCATCATATCATATACAACACAATAGCATAATCATCATAACCTATATTCATTTCTCTCCATTTTCTGAAAATATATAAATATATCTGTAATGTGTTGTAAAAATAGAAGTTATACGAATGCAAATGTACAAAACACTCGGTAAATGAGTGAAAAACTAATCAGAGATAAAAATAAACGTCATGTTTTAGTGGCTACATAAATAAGATTAGCTTACAACACTAAAATCACACATATTTCACATAACTAACATGAAAAGCATTCGTTTTGTTCGTTTAAGTACTCAAAATAGCATTGTATAAGAATATTTGGCCACAAATGTTCATTTTAAACAATTATTAAATGGCACTATCTAATAATTATGATTAATAGTATATGAATAAAGTATAGTATTCGATTAGGCCATAATACTACCATAGAAAATATAAAAAGAAACAAAGTGTTTTTATAGAACCACTAATTCTTTCAAAATTTCACTGGCACGCTTCAAATTTAATTGACGATCAAAAACTTGAACTGTATTCATAATTATTTTTAATTTTGTGGCAGTGGAATTCGTTGATTTGGTCATTTTTCACCAGAAAAATCATTTGAGGTTATGCCCAGAAACACAGAAGTTATACTTTATGAAAAAAGTAATATAGACTTCCCACAATACACCACCTATTCAAGTCCCTGTCAACGTTGTAGTAGTACTATTGGAGTCATGTTCCTTTCTGATCTCATCAATGGTAGCAATGGATATCTTCATATCGTTAACCTCCAAAGGAAACTTAAAACTCAACTCCTCTCCGCCAAAAATGGGACTGGGATTCAAATTCTCAAAAATCGACTCCTTCTCATCGCGCTTGTCCTCATGCGTGTAATAATTCGCAGCATGGCGTCGGGAATAACACAACGCAGCGAGGACTGCGAATGTTGTAATCACCAATAGCAGTAAGGAAGCAGCAGCGGCGAAAATCCCCAAGCGGCCGTCATCTCGACTCAGGAAGAAATTAATACCCTCCGAGGAGTAACCATCCGCATTGCACCAACTCAAATCCTCCCGGAGGATAGTCCCCAGCACCTTTTTGGTATGATGGTAGGGTAATGCACAACGTACCTTATACAGGTCCTCACTACGATTAACCCTCTCCAACATAGGAATAATATGACACAGATCACACGACCATGGATTATGATCCAACTTGAAGTGGATATCCTTCTCTACAACCTCCTGTTCCAAACCACGGAATAAATTACCGGATATATCAAGATCTCTTAGACTTGGGGGCAGGACCGTCACAGACAAGTATGATAATTGATTGTTAGCCAAGTTGAGAGTGGTCACCGTATCCGGAATGAAGACGGCGTTGATCTCAGCGATGCTGCAATCTGCTAATTGTAAATCTTTCAAAGTGGCGTCGTGTAATGCCCGCTTGAGTTCGATCAAAGCTATCCGGTTACCGCTGAGCACCAGACGCTCCAAACTTCCGAGGGTGTCAGTTAGCGCATCGCTCGTTAAATGTTTCAAGTTGTTGTAGCCCAAGTCCAATGCGGTGAGGTTCACCAAGTTGGCGAATGCATCATTGGCGATATTCGCTATCTGATTACGAGCTAGAGATAAATTTGTTAAACCCGCATGTGTTCCTAGGACATAACCAGGCAGATCCCGAATTTGATTAGCATCCAATCTCAGGACCCTAAGGTTAGTTGTGTTTGAGAAGTCTCCGGTGTCCAGGACCTTGATTTCGTTCTCGCTGAGGTCCAAATGGGATAGGAGGGGGAGGAGTTCAACAACATGGCGGTTGATTGCTTTCAATTGACAACCACGACATTCCAACCTTCGTAAATCCTATAAAAACCACCACAAAAATAAAAAAAACTCAACATAACCTAAATTATGAACCACTTACTCTTAAATCCTTAAAAACTTCGGCTTCGAAGTGTCTGATGTAGTTCCAACTGAGTTTCAACACACGCAACTTGATCAACCCTCGGAATACTCCAGGGGCTATTTGTTGGATACGATTTTGTTGTACAGACAACATTCGGAGATCGGTAAGGTGTCTGAAGGTTTCACTCGGTAAGGAATCAATCCGATTATCATCAAGAGACAACTGTTGGAGTCGTATTAACCCCAGGAAGTTCGTGGGTAATGGTTGGGTGATGTTATTCTGGGCAAGATTCAACACTTCAAGTTTAGAAAGACCATAGAAGAACTTCTCCCCTAAGTTAGGGATATTTGACTTGGTAATATGAATCTCCTCGAGTTGTCTAAACTGCCTGATACCAGGATTCATCGATAGGTCATTCATATTGTCATCTGGAGCTGATATCTTCAACACCTCAATCCCCATACTCATATTACTAAACTGTAGTGACCCTTTCATGCCCCCATGTTTACACTCAACAGTATGACGTCCCTTTGGGTCCAGGTAACACTGACACACCGTCGGACATTTTCCACTTGGTTGTGATCTACAGCAAACCAAAATGGCGGCGATGATGATGAACAATCGAAGGTGATAGCGCGCCATTTCTGTAAGACACAAATAAAGCAATTAAAATCAAAATTGGATTGCACCCAACTCCCAATTGGGATATTTATTAGCATAGAGATGCAAATGGCGGCGGGGAACAAGCAATATTACACCTCCTTTAATATTACACATTCGTCCTTGTCCCAGTGTCCTATTATAAGGCACGGCTCTCATGCATTGTAACCAACCCGCAAGGAGTGCTCAACTCCTCTCCTCACCTCGCATTGTTTCCCGTGTCCTAGAATATTACCATTACGATTATAACAGGACGTGACACGCGCCTAATGCGGATTCTCGTTTTAATCAACGCTAGGCAACCCAGAAAGCAGTCACCAGCGTAACTGAACAATTGCAATTTAATTTTTTTCGTTTTTCTTTTATTTCTCCTGGTTTAAACTTTGAGACATAGACAAAGACAAAAAACGAGGAAATAACAGAAGGGATTTTGCTTATTGCACACTTTGGCATTATTCTAATATAAAAGTAGTCAGAGTTTCTTCCTCGGCTCGTGCAGACGTTGCAGAAAACAGAAAAAATAGCGCGACACATTTATTGCTAACGATGTGCGCCTCACATCAACTTGAAACCGGCGAGATTTCGGGAATCTGCGTGAAGATAAATCATGTTTATTGCGAAAAAATGCCCGAGTTTTTTTTTCTTCTTCTTCTGCTTTGCGCTTCATTTTTTTCGTGGCCGGTTTTCGAGATTTACGTACTTAATGCATAACTATTGCCAAGAGCCATTGCATTAAAACGCAGAAACGGGCGATAAAATTTAATAGAGACCATGAGGTCGTGTCGTCTAAGAATGAGCGATTTTTACTTTTTAGTTCATTTTGGTTCGGTTGCCACTCGCGCGTACTTTCAAAACTATTACGATGATTATAATTATAATTATAAGTTTTCGCGTAACTCACGCGTTTCATTCGACAGCGAGTAGTAACCTAACCAACTATCTACAGCACAAAGTGTTGGATAACTTTATATTCATTAGTGTATAATGGGTTGCAGCCGTCTAGACACTCAATCAGTGTTTCTTTTGTATAATATCCCTACTAATATTATAAATGCGAAAGTCTTGATGTTTGTTACACTTTCACGCAAAAACTACTTAACCGATCAACATGAAAATTTGTACACATATTCTTAGTGGTCCCCGAATGGTTATAGGCTACTTTTTATTTAATAAAAAAAAATTATTTTTTAAATAAAATAAAGAAATAGTTTAGCCAATAATACCTCTGCATCTGGCTATTTGACTACTTTAACGCCATCTAGCATTCCAGCAATGAAGCTCAAACCTAAGTACTATAGTACCATCACACTGTATTATCACACTGTATTACCGACAGCTACGTCAACATCAAATCCAATTGACTACACTATGGAGACTGTACACTATACTTCCATAGACTATACTTTCAGCCATTTTAAACTTCCCGCCATTCTACTTCATTGTTACTTCTTCTGTGACTACAGACGCGTACGGAAACAACTTCATTATTTTAGATATTCGCGAGCGATGCCAAGGGTTAAGGCTAGTTAAATATAATTCAATTATATATTCAACTTTTAACGTTGTTTTTGTTATTTTGTTGGTGGTAATACTTATAAATTTTGATAACAGATGGCCATTCTGCAACCTGCAAAACACCAAGCCATTAGTGGTAACGACCTTGTGGTTTATTGGACCTTTTATATCCCATTTTTATTTTCATCGCTTAATAGCCGATTTGGAGGTTCGAAATCGCGCCGTAAAAATTTATAAATTAGTAAATTTCCCAGCGGGACGCTGCCGAAATAAAAAAACGAACGGGTTGCAATTTTAGCAAAGCACTAGCCCCTTAACCGTATTGACAATCCCTGGAGTAATACCATGCGGACAAAATAACTTTTTCTCAAGCGTTAAAAATTAAGTTATTTTATATTTATTTTCAAATTAATCACAAAAGTATCTCTTTTGACTAGTCTGTCACTGCCATGCGCAACACTTTTGACCAGCGCAGTCACAAGCGCAACCGACGCGCGCGCAAACCTAACCTCTAAAAGTTGAATTCTCCCGCTGTGCACACTGCAAGTTCGCTCTTCACTAAAGTGGAATTTAAACAGAATTTAAGGTAAGATTTATTGCTGTAATTGTTCTTAACAGTTTATAAATTAAATACACATCGTATTCCTAGGTCGCCGGCGCTGTTTCGGTGCTTTTTTCTGCTTCTCAACGAGCGTTTTCGGCGATACTCACTTAGTGTGCACGCCGGAATGTTTTAATTACGCGCCGGGAAGAAAAATATAAAATAACAAGTTTATCAAGTGTACACCGACCAAGAAAACCCGGAAAACACAGTCTGCACAACCCCACAGCCGCAAAGTCTCATACGTAAGTAATTAATTAAATTTTCATGGAAATTAACCTTTGTGCGGTTATGTAAGAGTGAAATACCCATTATTTTTTCGTAAAATTACATCTAAAGCATAATCAGCACACGAAATAAATGCTTTAGCATTCGTTTTTAATGTTAACTTATCTCTCCCGCAATTATTTATTACTTAAACGGGTGTAGCATACGTTTTTTACGTACATAACCTATTTGTAAGAATAATTTCCAGTAATTTCTCGTCTCTCGTTGAGTAATAAAGGTGCAAAGGGTTGCTGGTGGCCCAGCGAGACATTGAGACATTGGCAAATTAGTTTCGTGTTTTTACAGCATTGTATACAGACTCTAGAGCTGAGTTTGTGCGAACAACTTTTGGCTTTTGTATCGCCGACGCACAAAAACATTCTTATCGCGCTTACTTTCACGGCTATCTTGCTTAGAATAATAGCAACGTTTTGTCTTTATCATTCGTCTTTGTAGTATCGCGTCAGCGCGATAAAACTTTGCGTTGAAAACATTTATTCCGGAATAAATCGTTCACTTTAGTCCTGCTGGCGACATCTAGCGGTCACTTTGCGAAGCATATAACTATATTAGCCCGAAATCGCGCCGGGGAATACAACGCTGTGGAAAAATTTAAATAAATGTGATGTTCGTGGTTGTGTCGATCCACATTTGCATGCCCCGAAGGCCTTGGGCGCACAATGCTACCCGAATTTTATGTAATGTTCATGCGACACAATGTACTGTGAACGTCGCGCACTCGTAAGTACTCTGCGTAAGTGCATGTAAAAGATAAGAAAGATGTAAGCGTGAGCGAAGAGCGTTTCACCTTCGCGCTCGGATTGTCGACAATATCCTTGGAAAAGCAAAAAAAAAAACCGTACGTATCGTTCGGTTCTATTCACGCCGAGATATCGGAGAGCAAATAGCAATACATCAGGAAAATTGTGACATTCGAGACAGATTTTACATTAAAATTAAAATAAAACGGGAAAAAGATGGGAAATTTTTAGCGTTGGGTGGAAAATACCGGTATTAATACAGGTATACCGGTTTTTTCTTCGTCAAATACCGGTATACCGGTCTTTTTCTTCTTCAAATACCGGTATACCGGTATTTTTTTAATACCTAGTTTTTAATTCGGTATTATTTCCGGAAAAACGGTATACCGGTATTTTTTTAATGAAATATACTGAAATACCGGTTTTGCACAGAAAAATTCGCGATATTTTTCATAAATTTCCCTAAAAAATATTTACCAAGTGTCGAATTTATCGTCATTTACCTTCCCGGAAATCTTTTCCTCCTCGGCCGGTTAAAAAGGGGTCACTTTCGGGTGACATTAAAGCGCCACAGTATTTCATCGAAATCCAATCAGAACCATGGCACTGCCTAGCATCCGGTCATCCTGGCGGCCGTTAAGGTAACACATTGTACGAAGGCGGCCCCGAATTACCGCCCCCATCCCGGGCCGCAGCCAAAAAGGCCGCCTAAACGCCCGCCGGTCATAAACTCGGCACGAAACTCTCCGCAAACAACGCGCGCCACGCACGTGGAATGCGCAATTCACACAAAAATAAATAAAATCACCCGACTATAACCTATAAAATGATCTATTATGTATAATGAGTATGTATACTTTCATCACAACACAATTGAATGACATATAGAGTGTCCTGGTTGCATTTAATTAAACATTGCATCAATGAAACATGGCCGCCGCTTGTACGCGCGCGTTTTATGTAAATTATTAAATTTGATTGTATATTGCACGCGTACTTCCCCCACTCCTCTTTCGCCAGTGGGTGTCGAACTCGTAAACTTAATTAAATTTCCACCAGAGATATTGCACACTGCGTCCTTTGATTGCTCTCCGCACGCAATAATTAATCCTAAACAGAAAATTACCGATTTTGTGTATTTAGGCAACCAAATATACACGCGAAAAATATTGACGTGCACAAAACAATATAATGGGACTTGTTGAGCAATAAACTACCTGTTTATTGTGCATTGTGATAACAACTGCACTTATTATGTCGTGTTTTTCAAAAGAATTTGTTGTTTTGCGCGCGGGACACAAAAGAATTTTAATTAATTTTCATCCTACGCACATCAAATTATTATTAAATAAAAATTCCCGAGTGAAATTCCGTGTATTGTTTAATTTCACGTTACGAGAAAAAAATGTCTATCAAAGCACAACATAATATTTATACAGTTGACATGAACTGCATTTTTTTTTTCATGCGATGACAGCCATTATCACTCTCTTTAGACCTACGTGATAGTTAAACTGTTCCACTGCTGCGCTGACTAATGACTATTTCATCGCCTACGAACACAAACAATCTTCTTATTACGCCCGGCATCTTCTCAACTTGATGCGCAGCAGAGACGTGTGAATGTTATTTAGATCAAAGATTCGCGTTACAATAATTAACGACGATGTGGTTAGGCTGATATAAGCGCTTTTGTTTGGTTTGCCATCTTGGAGTGTGGTGTGTAGTTGCTCTCGGCGGCTTGTTTAGTTATTTGCTTAGTTTACTCGACACAGACGAACAATACACATTGTGTTTTATGCATTGTTTATTGTATTGGCTGCAAATCTGTCAACAATGT